CAAAATACATTTGGAAATATTGATAATATATGTGATTGGTTTATGATATCTTAAGATTGTACTTGAGATGATCTTAGATATAAAAACCGAATGAATATCGGCCCAAGATTCACCTAACAGATGTGCAAATAATTCTTTGTGGAATTAACTGGTTAAAAGCTAGCTACTGTTCAAAGCAACTAGATGCTTTTCAGGTAATATTTTATTAACCCTAGACAGCATATGTGGGGTATTACGTTACCCCACGCGAAATTCAAATTCCCCTGATTTAGGAAGGTTATAGTTTTCATACCGAGACCCTAACCATAATTCAGTTTAGTCATCCGGCAGTCGACCTCCGTCATTCAGCGAGTGCGTTAGATCCGTGCAGCAGCTGTGACCGAAAAAGAAAATCGTTTGGGGTAACGTATTACCCCAGTCGGTCGTTTACGCTCGACATTTACCACAGTAAAGTATATTTCAGATTTTTTGTGAAAATTGGTAACGAAAAATTATACACTTTATAGCACTCCCCGGAAAATTCTACCCCTATTTCATATATAATTCTTTAAGATTCGGCCAATTATTTCATTTTTGCTGTTCTTACACAGCAACTGATTAAAACTTTGTAAAGTTTTTATAGAGTTAATTTTACTGTTTCCATATAATTTTATAACTTTTGACTACCTTTCAAATAAATAATAATCGACAGAATCTGTTTTACTTTCCATTTCTTGCGATTTTTCCCATCCGACAGTTTTTCATCATTTCCTCTACTTCAGACGTTCAAAGAAATATGTTTTTTTTTAAGAAACGAAAAAGTCGCTTACATGCGCTTGAAGGTTGTCTATTCGTCTTTCAAAATCCGCTGAAATTTTAAAAATCGGTGAATTTTATAAAAAACTACTGTTTTTTTTACTACCACAAATTGATGACTACTATCGTCTTCCCTATTAAAGAACAAACAAAATTATCTATTACAAAGTCTTCTAACAACAAATGGAAACATTATACACGCGGTACAAGTTTGGGGTAATTTATTACCCCGGTTAGTCAAAAGACTAACGACGTAAAAACGTATGAGAAAATTATGATATGCTCTCTAGGGTTAATACGTGACATTTTATAATTAAACAAGTACATGGTACCCAGATAAAATTAAATTTGTTCTAGAACATAGATATTAATTGTAAATAAAATTGACGCAGGATCTGCTGTATTTATTTAAGGGGATCCTAAAGCCGTCTGTAATACCGGCTTTTTTTCTTAGCACTAATCTTTTAATTGACTTTATAGAAATGCAAAATTCTTGTCTAGAATTAAAGTACGCATCAAAATCTAGGTCATGGTGGTCAAATTTATATCGAAAACGAAAAAAAATTAATATTTTTGTTAATTTTTGGTATACGTGACGACAATATTTGCTTTGTACAAAAATTCCACGATAAATATCCACAAAATTAGACCGGCATGACCTAGGGACAACATTTAAGAACAATATCGTGCAATTAGATCTAAGATTGAAAACCTAGAAAAAAAGATTACTTTATATAACTTTTATATGTGCAAAAGCACATTCAGGTTGACAGGATAAGCAATATTGCGTGTGGCAAGAGATGGCGCAGTAATCGAACAAAGACAGTTGCCTCTCGTTAGACAAGGACAGATATAGATATATGACAAGAAAACAGAATTAGAAATGTTGACATTACCGACGTCGAGGAAGTTCAGCCTTCACTTTAGGACCCCCTTAATAACGTCTGCAAAATTCTGATAAGAATCTAAGGGTCGGTTGCTCTAACTTGTTAGTAAACTAACTAATAGTTAAATTATATATATGTGTTTTTGTATTTTCTTTAAATTAAACAAAGATAGACACATGATTTAACTATACTATTGATTTACCAACAACTGGCTTGGAACAATTGCTAAGTTAACTAACGGCAACCTAACGGCGGAAATCAAACAAAGCGCCAACATAGTTTATTTACTTTAATGTGCCGATCGAATCTACTGCCAAGCTAGCCTGAATACTGCTACTCTTTTGCTACTTGGATACAGGCAATATTATTGCATTGCACAATCGTTTACCTGAACGATTAATTTAGATCTATACTTTCGTAACACGTAACAGCTATAAAGAAAAGAAAATTATTGCTGTAATGTAATAGGAAATATATAACTATATGTTACTAAAAATGCATTGTTGGAAGAAAAATGTTGTCTCTTTATATAAATGTGCCATAAGCATGTTCTCAAAACAATATAAAAAAATCTCTATTATAAAGAAAAACAATTTCTCTGTTATCATAATAATCGATATATTTAATGACGCCAGTTTGTATTTCTCACAAGAAAATATCTTTAAATTAATTTATATAACTTATTAATTTAATGTAGCTAAGGTACATATGCTAAATATCTCTGATGTAGTAGGTACACTATATAATCATCGATTAGACACAAGATTAAATTCCTAATAGCACGAGAAATTCAAACTTGAAGTCTTGAAGGCTTCTACGATTAATCTTCTCGAACTTACCGAATCTTCGAAAGTCGGATTGCCGTAACTTCTCTTGGAGGATCTTGCCGCACCTTTGCGCCTTACGCTATTGTACGCCGAAACGCTGTCGAGGCTGTAGGCGTCCAAGGATACCGGCCGGCACCGTTCACCGTAATTGAACCTCGTTTGCCTCTTTCTCATTATGAACTGCAAGTAGATACACCTAAGGTTAGCGGCCGTTACGTTCGACGAAACGAAAAGCAAAAGCTGATATAGCGACCTTCTACTGTACGCAACTTTGCAACTCCGCTCTGTATTACAGTACAACTCGTCTACAAATACTCACAATATCCCGAAATGCGGTGGCGGTTAATTTAGTGGCCATGCACTGAATCAAAAACTGCAGAGTTCGCCAGCGTGCAAAATATATATACAAACGATAAAGGTGTGCCACTTATAGATTAATTATAATTTCGATTTAAGCAAATCGGTATATTGGAGAATTATTGTATAATTACGTGTTTCTCTTATTTCATCTTTAACAAAAAATGATTGTATAAGAAGATCAATTATATTATCAGTCAGATCAACTATCTGATGCAAATTATTTTCACGTAATTCCCTTACGTTTTTAAATATAATTTATAAAGCGAAAAAAGTGATGCTGCTTTAAATAGATATAATGATTGGCCGTCAGCGTCGATCGAATGCAACAATTATAATTGTAAATCACGCATTCTGATAAGTCCTTTTCATTGCAATTAAGCAACGAGTTGTATTACCAATTACGCCACATGACCGACATATCTGAAAAGAGATCGAGGAAATCTCGCGACGGTCAGCAAAATAGAATAAACGTAGCCGGCCGGGCCATTTCGACATCGTCATTCGCATGCCCGACAAAAACCACGGCGCAGCGACGCTGATGAAGTGTGGAACGCCGTTTGCCAGTCAATCTAATAGGCCAGTCAAATTAGACATTCTGGTATGAAAGTGATGCAAACTTTTTTATTCCTTTTTAGGCGTGTTGGGGGTGTTTAGAAAAGCTTATTTTTGAGTTGTCGTATTATGAGACCCAGAGCTTTTTGAGGGGAAGGGGGAATTTTTGACGAATCGGAACGAGTTACCGCTCATTTTCTTCGTTTTTTCAAGCCCTACAACTTTCTCAGGAGCGAAAAAGTGCTATCTATTAATCGAAACGAGATAAATGCAAAAAACCGCAAAAAATTTATTTTTCGGGGGAACCAAAATTTTCGTTTTTTCGCATTAACTCGGCGAATGTCGATAAAGAATGAATGACTAACCCCTCATTTTGTAGCTGAAGCTGAACGAAAATTTTGGTTCCCCTGAAAAATAAAATTTTCGCGGTTTTTTGCATTTATCTCGTTTCGATTAATAGATAGCACTTTTTCGCTCCTGAGAAAGTTGTAGGGCTTGAAAAAACGAAGAAAATGAGCGGAGACTCGTTCCGATTCGTAAAAAATTAGTTCCCCCTCCCCCCCTCAAAAATCTCTGGGTCTCATGATACGACAACTCAAAAATAAGCTTTTCTAAACACCCCCAACACGTCTAAAAAGGAATAAAAAAGTTCGGATCACTTTCATACCAGAAGCCTTTTTTTGGTCTAATTTGACTGGCCTATAATCAGCCATTCAAGGCTGGACAATCGCGTGTGCAAATGACATTCCATTTCTTCCGGTAAGAAGACGCGCGACGTCAATTCTCCTATATCGTTAATTACACGTTACTGCAAATACATATATACCTGCTTCACAGTATTGCCCCACGCATGTTTGCGCGTTCGATTAAGCGCTTTTCAAAATAAACCGTATCGATTTTAATTCCGCGATTTAATACCGTATTATAATCATCGTTATTCGTGTTCCGTGATCATTACTATTTTTAATATTTTACGATATTACCAATTTGTATAATTAAAGGCGTACTTTTAGAAAGCTTATAAAAATTATAATAAGCTTTCTAAAAATGCGCTTGGTTTTCTTTTTACGTCGTAAAACATTTTTTCACGCAAAATTTGTTTGTTTAATACAGTTATCTGGCCTACTCATTAAGTAAAATTGCTTTTGTACACGAGTACAGTTTCGAAAATGAGATAGTACCGTTTTGTATTTCCTGAGGCCACCAGTAATTTTCTTTCTCTTCAATATTAATTGATTCGTTAAATTTGGTTAGTTCAGATTCCGCTTGGCGGTATACGTTCATTAAAATTAATTGTTGCACGCTGTGCAAGCAGCACGGTATTAATGTTACTGATGGTCGAAGAAAACGTAGTAGATCTCATAGCGATGCTATTATCGATATAATAACAGAACATGTTCCAATATTAAAGTTATATAATACGAGCAATATTAATGTAACTATCATTTTTCGCGTTTAATGATGTTGCCAACATCTAATAGACTCAAATTTTTTCCTATTAATTCTTATACATATGAATAAAATATCTATTACACGAGTATAATTTGCAAGCTTCTTGATTTCTCGTGAAGCGATCAACTTGCATTCCACGTGAACCGCAACCGCGCGTGTGCACGCGTATTATTATACGAATAAACGGAACGTGGAGATAAGCGCAACTGAAAAAAAGAACCATATAATAAGCTGCCATTATATCTAATTATAAGCGCAAAAGTAGGAGGAAAAAAAACTCGTTCGTGCCGCGAAATATTATGCGCGTGCAGAGCGCATTATCTTCGTCATCCGCGCGACGAAGACGAGAGAACATCCTTTCTCTCACCTCCTAGATGAAAACATATATATGTATACAGACATGTTATGATGAGCGTATTACGTACACTAGAAGAGAATTATGAGTGTGGACAGATGGACGGGCGAATGGACGGAGATGAACTGTACACATGTAACGTAAACCTTCCGTGAACGGAGGTTTATCGCAAGCGCGACTTTTAGCAGCAGAGGATTACGTCAGCGAGCATAGATTTTCGCGGACCTGCGCAACTGTCATCTTGAAATATTAGTATTTCCTGCTTCGATTTCTCAGTAATGTGCCGCATGATGTGTGAGAACGGCAGACAAAAAAATGCATGCGACACACATTTATATTCTAAAAAAAAAAACGACCGAGATAAAGTAGAACGATTCAAGCTTGAAAATTCTCGCGATTATCCTCGCTTCGCGAAGATAGCGAAAAAAAAATAAAATAAAGTCAATCTTATATGTGATAAGTGACATGCCGAACAATTTATATGATGCGTCTTTTATTTCACGTGCACGTTTGCGTAAAAGCTTCGAATGTCAAGCGTCAATGTCCGTCATAAATTAAATATGATGCGCAGATATTAAAACGCTTACCAGAAGGCCGGCTAAAAGAACCAGGCAAATGAAGGCTACGGAGGAGACTACGACGACCGCTATGGCGTTACCGGAATCCGCTTCCGATACCAGAAGAAACTTGTGTATCTGGAAAGAATGAATAACCTAAGGAAATTTAATAGAGATATTCTTTCGATAACTGTGCCATTGCGTATAACATCAATGACTTTGATACGGCGCATCGATCGATTAATAGAGAAAGCTAATAGAGAGAAGGGGCGCTTCGTAGAAACTTGAACCGAGCGATTACTCGCGAGCGACGTGAATGAGTCTATAATGATAAGTTGATAATCGGGGAGATTGAATTTTCACGAGACGTGCCGAAGCACACAAGAGTTATAATGGAGTTGTGTTGACGTTCCGACAGCCACAATGTTCTAATCCGCGCCTGAGACCTTCTCCGCCGTTTTCAACTTACTCTCACTGGGAAGTTGAGAGACACCTTGTATAAACTTGGTAGAATCTTCGTCATGGCGGCGTCGAACTTGTTGTCCTCGTCGACAACGTAAATCAGGATCGGGATTAAGGAAACCTCTGTGGGTGTCGGCGATGAGTTCTGCTCGCGACAAGGATTCTGACGGATGATAATTTGTCTCGACTCCACAGGCCTGCAAAATAAAGTATTCCACGCTGTATTATATGTAACGAGTGCATTTTTAGTTATCTTACAATTAGTTGAAAGTTGAATGTGCTAAGCTAAGAGAAGAATTTTACTATATATTAATCTAAACTTTTACTTTCTGTATGAGTTTAGAACAATTTTAGAAGCATTTACTATTAATTTATTACTATTATTATGTAATCTATATAACAAAAGAGCTATTTATTTCTAACATACATGGGTATGTAAATTATTAATTGCACAGATTTGAATATCTAAATGTGTGAAAAATGTTGATATACTACATTTTTATGAGATAATATTAGATGGAAAATAGTAGTTAAAAATAAATAATAATAATAATTAGTACATCCATATATATTCAGCTTTAAAAAAATATTTCATACTCAATAAAGAAAAATAAAGAAAAATAAAAAAAATTTCGCAGATCACTCACTTGTCCAGTCCGTCTCTGAGGACGTCCGCGAGCGCTTTCTTTAGATCCTCCAGCCGAGGACAGACTTCGTGTAAGGTGCCCTCGATGATTATTTTAACTAGCAACGTGATTTCATCCGATGACAGAGTCTGAATACTTTCCGTTACTTCCTCCTCAGGCGATTCCGTGAAACCCGCTGTGTTCCAGGGTGCTATCGGCTCCAAAGTACTCGTAGCCGAAGGGCTCTTTGTGACGTTCGTCGTTGTTGCGACGCCTATGTTCGGCGAAAGTTCCGTCGCGCCTGGAGCAGACGTCTCGGTGATGTTCGCATTGAAACTTGAATCCTTTATAGACTTTAGAGGATCCTCCGTAACGCCGGAGGCTGCCGTGGCATCAGCGGCGGTGACGCTGGTGAGATCGATAACGCTTACAGTAACTTCGCTCCTCGTGAACTCCGTGCGATTACTTTGGCTCTCAGAAGTGGTCGGAGTATCTTGAGGATCTCTAATAGTTTCGTTGTCCGCGTGATGCACACCCGACACTTGATCCGTCGTCGGAGTTCCGCCTTCGGTCGTCACCGGAAGTTCGGTGGATTTTTCCGGTTTCATCGTAGTGACCGCGTCCTCCGTCGAATTGCTCGTCACGGACGGATCTTGAATCGTCGTCGCCCTCGAAAGCGTTGTTTGCTCCTCGAAGGTTCGTCCTTCGACGCTCCTCTCGGTCGCGTTAATTCCCGAAGATATCGCCTCCGTGAGACTGACGAACTCGAACTCGACGGACGTGGTCGTCGGGATTGAGGATTCGTCGGGATTTAACGTGACAGAGGGAGATTCGGTGGTTTGATTAACATTCGATGAAGATCGCAGCGTGACGTTTGTCCTCGGCGCCAATTCCGTGGAATTTTCGAGAACCGTCGCAGCGATCGTATTGATCTCCGCCACCGACGTCGAAGTCGTCGAAGTTTTGGACTTGTTCGCTTCCGTCGTCGTGTCGTTGTCCAAGGGAACCATGCTCGTCGATTCGGTAACGACGAAAGTCGAGCGGATCATCATAGCTTCTTCCGGTTCCATCTGAACGTCGGTATTCAGAGACACTGTTTTAGACGTATTCGTTTCCGTGGAGTGCAACGTTGACGATTCCGTCGCTTCGCCGGAATGTGATTTCGCTTCCTTGCCATCCGGCATCAGGCTCACTTCCGTTATTCCGTTTCCAGTCACGTCGTAACCTTCGTCTTTGCCTGTAATCACTTTCTCCACTTCTTTCGTACCCGACGTGTCATTCTCGTTCGACTTCGAGCGTTTCATATCCGTCACCTTCGCGCTGCTGTTAAATCCTTCCGACAAAGTTTCGTTCGTTGATCCAACATCGGCCGAGACAATCGGAATCGCCGTCACCGGCGTCGAAGAGAAGAGACTCTTTGTCGTGGAATTCGTGGACTCGTTTACATTTTTCTTATTCGACTTATGCTGTTGGATGCTGTTCTCGATCACGACCGAAGGTTCCGTGACAACGAGCTTCTTCTCGGACTCCCCTCTCCCGATCGTGTTCTCGTAAGCGGAAGTTTCCTCCGTAACGTCACCACCTTCCTTTTTCAGTTTTGAACTAGCCTCCGTTATTGCCTGAAACGACTCCCTGTTGGATTTTAGGTACGGATAAGGTCTTTGATCTATTTTTGCCGTGCTGTTTCGCAGGCTTTGAGTGACCGACGATCCCTCGTCGACGGTCCTTTTCGTCGAGGCTGTAGATTTCACTTCAATATTCGGAAACTTATTGACTCCGGAAAATCCGATAGTTCTGCCTTGCGGAACTGGACTAGGAGTGGTTTCAGGAGTGGACGAGGTACGCTCTTCGAGTCGCGCGCTCTGAGTCATTGTCTCGGGCAACTTCACCTGGCTCTCAGGCTCCCCTATTGATCTCCATTCTTCCACACCATCTGTACTCTTAGCGGTTGCATTGGAAATGGAGGAATCTACGCTTTGCTCACGATGATTTTCATCTGTCGCGCTAGTCCCCTCTTTCTTCGCGTAAGCGGTTCCTTCTTGATTACTCAGTTCACTAACGTGAGAATCGTTCTTCGCTGTATCGTTCGTGATAGTCACGATCCTCTGTACCGGCAGGTGAGTTACGTTCTTAACGATCTCCACCTCTTCTTTCGGGTCGCCTTTCTCGCGCGATTCGCTCGCGTCAATCGAACGATTCCCCGTGCTAGTTTTGGGATCCTTCCCCGTCACAGTCTTATAAAAGTGATTGTAGTTCACGTAAGTGTCGTTAACTAACGAGACGGTTCCTTCGTGTCCCTTTTCGTCGATCTTCTCTAGATCGAATGCTTCAGACGCCGTCGTTCCTACATTCGCGCTCTTCTTAAATCCCAAGGAATTTTCACTGTGCGCTGTGGTTAATTCCCGATCACGAGCCTCCGTCGTGTGATCTTCCAGTTCTTCTTTCAAGTCAGTCAAAACTGTATTCTTGTCCTTTCTCGAAACAACTTCCTTATGCTCGAGCTTTATAATTTTGTCCTTCTTTTCGTCGGATCTGACGGTGTCTTCCGACGTCGATTTCGGAGTCGTCGAAAAGATAGACCTGACGGTCGGTATCTCTTGTTTATTCGCAGCTACATTATTTTCCTCTTCATATTTAACGGAGTGCTCCTTTCCCGCCTCTTTAGATTCCGAGGTTTCCATAACGTTCGCAATTAACTTCTCGTTGACAACTTTTTCCTTCGTATTTGGCGACACGAACTTGGTCGCATTGGATATTTTTTCACGATTGGAAGATTCTTGAAGCGTGTCATCATCTGGGTTCTTACTGTCCTGTTTCGAATCGTTGAAAGACAGTTTCGCGGTCGCCGCAGTTAGTTCGTTCTTCCTGGAGAGTCTGAGGAGATCTTCGGAGACGACTTTCGTGCTGGTGCTTTTCCCGGTGCTTTCAACGATCTCTCCGTACCGCGGCTTCCTGTTTCCATCCGACGATGAACTTTCGAAATCATTGCTTGATTTTTCCGCCTGCGAATTCGCGTGTGTTGACACATCGACTTTTTCTCCATCCTGATTTGCGCCGTTGATGACACTGTCGTGCGATCCATCTTCTGTGTCGTGAGTTTTTCGATTCGTCAACTCGATATCTCTTCCATTGTTTTCGGCAAATGATCCATTTTGATGGCTCGAAGAGACTCTGGTTAGAATCGTCGTAGATCCATGGGGAGTCGATAGTTTTTGGGACTCAAATTTCTCGGATGCGATCGATGCTTCCGTAACTTCCGCCACTGCATTGTTAAAGAGTAGTAGTAAGGTGCCTGAAATAGCAAAAGTCGATCTTACAACTTTATTTCTTTTGAAGATACAATTATTATTTTATATAATATTTACGATTATCTTTTACTCCAAATATAGAAGGTTCTACGATCACCGTATGGTACTTTAATTAATAACACATGTAATGCGAGGAACAAATAATAACACGTAATAAAAATAATTGGTTTTTATAAACTAATTATGAGTGATCTATTTACGGATTAAATCGTTGTAAATTAATAAGCACGCTTCAGAGAAAAACTCTTAAAAAAGTGAATAGCCTTTTTTATTATTTTCATTGTCTATAATTCAAGATTTGATTCATCAATCTGTCAAAGATAATTAGAGAGAAGATAGAAATAATTATGTAACACACACATATTTATATGCTATATTTTAAAACCTGTATTCACAAGAGATTTACGCTTTCAAAACATTCATTAAAAATTGTGTGGGAAAGCTTTTAGCAGTAAATTGGTTCTCACGTGTAACGCGTTAATTGTTTTTACTCCATGTAATCTAAGTCACACGTTTGACAATAAATCGGTGAATTATGGTTAGTAATCCGTAATAAATTCGCTTGACGCACGAAAACAAAAGTTCCTGCGCGCTCATCGACAATAACGACAACTGGTTTCCACCGAGATGCGCGATGCGAGAAAAATGTAAGTAGCGTGCGTAGACGAGACGTTTAATGGATCGAAAAACCGGTTGTCCGTGGAATTACCGCCTGGGTTCCTTCGGAACTATTCAGGAGAGGTTCTACGATACAGTTTGCGCTCTGCAAATTGAAAGTATTCGCGCGATCGCGCGTCGAGAGCGTGCGTTTGAATATTAAACAGACCTTCAGAATTATGCAGGGGGCTTCGAGTGTGTCCTCGTGTTTTGCTAATTTACGTCGATACGAGAGACGACTAGTCCTCACCGTGAACGTCGCGCGAAGCCGAGATAAATATTTATTTTATTGATGCGGATTTTCCCAGCGCGGAGAATTTTCCACCTGATTCTACCTCGATACTCATATTCGATATGCATTTCTGACGGATGCTGAAGATTTTATGACAAAGTATCGATTTCTCGAACTTGATTATTTAAAAGAAAAGATAAAAAATCCTTGTTTCTTTTCTTATACATAATTTATCTACTGTCCAGATTCGTGTATCTTGACATTTAAAACGTGTTTTCTCGTTCAGTTCTCTTTCATATAAGAACCAAATATTTCCTTTATTTTTAATTTGCGAGTTCTATCATATGGACATTTAATAAAGTAAAAACTGAAAAGTTAATGTATATTTTAAGCAGTTTATATTTTAAATTTATTTCAAAATACAATTGGAATAAAGATTCTGCATAAAACGCGACATAAAGTACGCATTTAAATGTGATTATCCTGTCAAGAGATTGTTGTGCCAATAGTATCTCTTTATGTGTAAATCTCGTATTGAATAATATCCGTCTCTGGAAATAGCTATTGTATAATATTTATATAATATCGAAATATTTATATAATAAAATACGGCAGAAATACATATATCGGGGAATTGATGAAAGAGACATTTCATCCATTATCATTATGTAATATTATATAATATTATTAAACTAATTTAAACTAATTATATAGGTTAATAATAAACTAATTAAGGGTGTTCTGAAGAGTTAGTTAAAATGTAACGAAGTTGACGAAAATTTAATATCATATTGTGTATTCTCTTTCGAAGTTCTGGGCTAAATTTCAAATCGATTCACAATTTAGATAAAAAGTTATCAATTCTTGAATATCCGTTTTACAAAGGGTTTAAAGTGTAAACATTAAAAAATGTAATCAATATAATAATATTTTACACATAAATAGATTATCAACAAACAAAAATAGAGCAACAAAATTTGAAAATATTTAGAATTTTGTTTGAAAAATTTTTTTTGAAAAAGAAAATAGTAGTAACAGTTATTTACAGTCACTAAATCTACGTCTTTTACATTCTATTAGATGTTCCGTAACTATTTATATACATTTTTTTGTCTTTGAATCCCTGGAGAATTAATATCAGAGTTTTTAATATTTCTTGCATACTTTTGATTGGGACAGTACCTATAGAACATCCAAATATTGATGCACGTAAAAGTTATATAATTATTTATTAAACATTTCTTGTCTCGCAACAAAATGATTCGAATAAAGGAGGCATTTATTTATGCAGCGCGCAAGTTTTTTAATAACAGTCGTTTCTTTCAATTCGTTAGTTTACACGCGACTTCTTTAACGTAATTACTGGGAATTTGCACATTGTTCCCTGATATCACATAGCATTTTGCTCAACAATACATTTAAAAAGAGTTAATTTAAATGTACATAAAATGATATATGCGTGTACGATTTTTTTATTTTGCAATGACATTAAAAAGGCAGGCAATATTGTTTGAGTTTCTTCATTTCTCTCTATATAAGTGGGAAATATATAGCCCACGACGTTGGAAAAGAAACATCGTTAAAATAATTATCTATCTTATTACCCATTGCATTACCGGCTTATCTTACAGACGTTAATTCCAGCTAATTAATTAAATTCGCGAGAATTCTGTCGTCGTCAGACTTTAACTCCTTCTGAAGAAATGCAAATACGTTTTGTATGCAAATAGATACACGTGTGTAAGATATTTAACGCATATACATCCGTAATCCGGGTAACATGCATTTGCGATATTTACTTCAGATAACTTAACTAAATATTACAGACTTTTATTCGCTGTTATTTGAAAGTAATCAAATTTAGATCGCGTCTTTCACGTTCACCGTAAAGCCGTAAACCGAAAGGTGATGATCTCGCGTCTCGAGGTGGGACGGAAAATTTTGTTGATAAGCTGCAAGTTACAGTTAACTCTTGCAGGCATGCTCGTTGCAGTAGACCTAACAGTACTTGGTGCAGTCACCTCGATTGGCAAGCTTTACATCACGAGTTTACAATGCAACAGGATGCGGCCGAGAGATGCTAGCCCATTCTCTTCGAGAATGGCAATCCGCCGCCGCACTGCGCGCGCGGTACGACTCGAAATAAAAATTACGTACATAATCCGCTTAGAAAACCGTTCTCCCTTTCTTTTCTGAATAATTCAAGGCAACGCGTTAATGTTCATTCTGTAGTTTTTCGTAAATGGGAAATAACTGTGAAAAATAGAAAGAATTGAATTTTTTTGCAACTATAGAACTCACCTGTACATACTCCCAATACGAAGATAAACGTTCTTCTGCGCGTCATTTCTGACCGTTAGATCTTCCCGCTCGATCTGCAACAAAAAGCACAATATCGTTACAAAAATGCATACTATTGCAATAAAAGTACAAAGCTTGTAAATAAATAGAAATTAGCCTTGGCTTCTGATTGTTTTGTATTTATAAATAAAATGTTAGTTTTTCGTTAAGGTATAAAAGTACAGAATATTTATAACAATAAATGCAAATAAAAGTTATGAAAAAGAAGTAATCGTATATATGAATATTGCAAGTCAACAATATCAGTATGCTGCCGATTGATATTCAAGAAAACACGTATCGACCGAAAGCTTGGGAATGGATACAGCTCGCTATATACCTACATCCAAACATAATTTTCAACATTGTGCTGAAGATGACCTCGTTTACGAGCCTGTTCACCTTAGGGAGTATAACATAAAACTCCAGTCCGCAATGCAGCACGAGAGAGCTTTATTAAAAGTTTTCATCCTGCGTTAGCAACGTTGTGCGAAGATCCGGTATAGTCGGTCAAGGATGATCAAACGTGCAGATCTTTGCGCAATCTTTTTGTTATTTACCCGACTGTGCGCTGAAATAGTTCAATACCATTCGTATCCAATTTTGTAAAAAAAATAATAGAAACTTGGGGAAAATAAATTATTTTTTATATGAAGTAGAAACTGCTTAGTGCTTAGGACATTCAAGTGGTAAGGAATGCAGGCGCGAGATATATTTTCAGATTTCACGAAAGCAATTTCGATTCGATGGTGTGAATGGAACGAAGTCGTGCCAAAGTCCGATCGCAATTACTCAATTTCCATAATATGTAGGCTGGTATTACTCCGCTATTCAACGCCTCGTTTGCTGTACGAACGCGCTTGCTGCGGTAGCGTGCAGGTAGTATCGTTCACTGAACGCATACCGGTGACTCTAATTGTAGAAAGTAATCGTAGAAAGTACAATTATCAGTTTGTCGCTAATGCATGTAGAGACTGCGCGCATGTCCTAAGAGCTAACAAAAGATCAGCTTTTTAAACGTTCGTGACGTATCGATTATGCCGCATTGAACACAGAGAAAAAAGTCTTGTAATACTTAAAACGCATTTGGTTGTGCGTTTTAGCGCATTATTTGATAAGTAGTAACAAATATGAATTGTTACCAAGCGGTTGATAATAATTACAAAATAGTTAACAAGACATATTTTTTATACAGTTGAAACACTTGAAACAATTAAATGGTTTAGTAAGTAATGCTAAATACTTTGGTAATAATTACCAAATAATTTGATGATTACCATAGCATTTATGTAAAAAAATTGTTTTTTAGTGATATGTAATAAATTAGTAATAATCGCCAAACCTTGCTATGATTATTTGAAATATTTACCAAATTATTTGAGTATATTCACTTAAAGATTGAGTTGAAACTATTTCACTAAAGCACTTGTGTTAGTAACTGTGGTCAGGATAGATATGATTATTACCGAATCTTTTTTTCAATGTAGAAATATGTTTCATATTAGAGGGGTACAGAGAGAAATTCAGTCAGTATAATTAACTCATAATATTAACAAGTCAAATATCAAATAAAAGCTCTAAATTTAAACAGTAATAAGTAAAACTTGACCGAATACATATGAATCCTAGAAAAAAAAATGCCATTAAATAGAGAGAATGCCATTTTCGGTCGAACCTTTGTAGTATATTTGATAATATTCTGTGTGAATATATATATATATATGTATACTTTTTTCTACTCATCAAATTGCACGCCGATGGTTTGTCAGTTTTAAAACACAGTTTTCATGTTGCACCCGTAAATTCACATAAATTAAATCTGCAATTAATTTAACCTTTTGATTCTAATAAGTAAACTTTGAAATTTAAACATTTAAAGTTTTCTTCGGATGTTTAGCAGATATAATTCAAATATTCAAGAAGTTTTGGAATGTACCCAATGTAATTTTACACCCCCAAAAAAATATTCTGTTGTTTAGTGGCTTCCGCTTGATTTTAGAGGATTTTCCTCTGAAATACGGTTTCAAGAAGATATTTTAAAACCTAGAGGAATATCCTCTAACCATGAGACACTTAAGATTGCAGTCCTCTTAATGCTAGAGGAATCTCCTCTTCTCATAAATCAAATAATAATCTTATTTATAGCATTTATAATAATACTTAAAAAAAAAACGAATATTCTTTATTCAATCTTATTAAGCATAACTTATATCCGATTATCATATGTTGACTGATTGTGAGAGAAAACTTCTTTCTGTGTCAAAGCATATAACATGAACGAGGTAAAAAAGTTTTTGATGGAAGCACATTTAGGCGACTACTGGCCCCCATTTGAGAGTGAGTATAATAAGAAAAATCTTATTCTAGTAATTTCTGTTTAAAGTTAAAAGCCAGATTTACAATGAGACGTAAATCGTAGTTGCATGATTAGGGCCAAAGCATATAGATAACATGGCGTAGCGATATATACAGTTATAGTCAGTAGACGTAAGTAACGCTTTGGTGTATTAACAGTCAGGATACGTCAAAGCTTGTGTGTTACTTACGTCCACTGATTATGACTGTCGTATATCGCTACGCCATGTTATCTATATGCTTTGGCCCTAATCATGCAACTACGCTTTACGTCTCATTGTAGATCTAGCTTTTAACTTTAAACAGAAACTACTAGAATAGGAAAAAATACTCACTCTCAAATGCGGGCCAGTAGTCGCCTAAATGTGCTTCCATCAAAAACTTGTTCATCTCGTTCATCCGTTCATAATAAAGAATACTATATAAATAGCACTACACTTCAATGTGCATACAATTCGCACGCAGCCACTGCAGGCTCGTCGACATCGTCTCGTGTGGTGGTGTACGCATCGCGTAGCTAATAAGACAATCGTTTTTTAACAAACGCGCGTGCCACTAATATCTTGCATATCCTCTTATTTTAAGAGGCTATTTGGATTATTATAGTAGAATTTGCTATAGAGGAATTTACTCTTGATTATAACTCACGCATTCACTCTTTTATAAAGTAATACGGCTTACTTAAAAAAAAATATGGTTCATATAAGATTTTTTGCTTAGAAGAAATGCTTAGAGGAATTCTTCACTTATGAGTATAGAATATTTTTTTAGGGTGTACTTTCTTCAGCTATGATTTTACAATAATCATAAAATCTAAAATTTTATCTCACGCCAATTTAAAATTGCAGAAGAATTAATAACACGGAAATAATTCTTTTAGACATTATTTCTTATTGTCCAACTGCCACAAGATTACTCGAATGAACGTAATGGTAACTTCCTCGCTTTGCCTCATGGAATCATATTCTGCTTTATAGCCTTTATTTCAGGGCACGTCATTTTCTGGCAAGCTCGCTCATATTCCTTATTATTTCGCCTCCCGAGAGAGCATGTCCAAAGTATCTATTAAATCCCGTAGGTAGTTTGTGACACTGTGTCGACTAGTCGCATAAGCGACGCTTTATAAAGCGGCGCCGACAATCGGAAGTTGTAATTCCGTTGCACGAGTGAAGACGTAACATAGTTTTAACCTAGTATCGTAATAAGGACAATACTGTGCATGGAATTAACGATGTGTACCTATGAGTAGCGAGTCTGTCGTATTACATCTTACGTATTTCGAGCAAATGTCTTAACATATTTCAAGCAAACGTCTTAATCGATCAAACTGATTGCATACACAGAGAGAATTTTTCCTTAGAATTTATCCTGAAAAACATTGTGAGACAACATGTATTACAAAGAATTTTATGCGAGCTATTGATTAATATCTGTAGTATAATAAAAAATATTAATATCTATTACAAAATAAAATATAAAATGTTTAATTAATTTTATTAAAATATATAGTAAAATTTCAATAATTTTTAAAAAATTACCAATGTGCTTGGTAATTTTTATTACGTTGTAAAATGTGTTTTGTATGTTTCAAAAATTTCTATCGTTACGATAAAATTTGATTGGTTGCCAAGTTGTCTCACATTTGTAGTGAATTTAACAGTAAAATATAACGAAAAATTCTCTCCGTGTATAGCTATTGCAAACGGAAAAGTTATTACGCAGATATATTTTTGATTGATTAAAGTCATGATTTCGTTGCTCTCGGTGCGGAAATATTTGGCAAAAAAAGCAATAGCGATAAATCGTACGTAAAGTAGTATTTTCGGACAAGCGTAGTACGTAAACATGACATTTAATGCATTAGTCCATAATTGAGTTCAATTTGACGTATCAAGAATAGAATATTTGAAATAAATTAATCTCATAAAGCATTTTCAATGTTTTTTAGGATGACAATTCGGCTGGCCGGCGCGCGGCCTTGTTTGTTTTTCTGACGTACAACGCGTCGTTACAGTCTTGCGTATACATTTATACAAGGTTGCGCCGCGCTATCATTCGTGCGTCAACAGTCAAACGAACAGATAGTGGCAAAGAGATATTATATCGTAAATTTTAATTTCGAGAGTGCCGTGCGATAGTCATATTTTGACAATTAGTTCATCCGCGATTACTCATGGCTTTGCGAATGTTGTGTGAGTGCAACAATCCCTGTCAACTGAGAGATGGAGCAGATCTATAGAAAAGGCATCAGGCGGAGCAATCTCGCTTAAGGTGAGTATTTAATTATCTATATATTGTTTTTTTAAATTAACACATTTTCCTTTAACTGAATTGTTGTCATTTGAATAATTCAAAAAAATAAGGATTAAAGAAAAAAGTTTTTGTTTAATAAAAATTTATGAATTATACTTAAGAAGGGAGAGAAAGAGAAAACTTTTTTTGGAAAATATAAAATTTTATTATTTTTTTTTGTTGTTAAATATATTCACTTGAAAAATGAATAAAAAATGTCATGCACACAATAATTTTTTTTTATATTAGCTATTTTGATCGTTATTGTAATTTGGCTGTTACGTTTATATGTTACAGTTTCATCGCAATTTGCGGCGTAGATTACTCCGCTGTTGCGCATCGTATTGGTAAGTGATGAATTAATTTTATTTTAAAGTTATGAATTTTA